CGATGCCAGTCAAAGTGGGATAGATCCCAGAGGAATGACTGTTCACAAAAACGTTTCAGATCCCTTTTTTTAATTAATCTAGGCTTAGAAGGTGGAAGTTTAATATCTCTCAAAGCAGCTGTCACACAATGATCACTCAAAAGATCAGCGAATACACCTGTACCAGGGAATTTGTGAGGCATATTCGTTAGAAACAGGTCTAAGATGGAAGATTTTTCAGGACGGTTTTTGTTTGGTCTAGTGGGAGAGTCGATCAGATGGGTTAGATTGAGTGACAGGCAACATTCCTTCAATTTATCACAGAGTGGGGTCGACTTATCCCAGTCAATGTTGAAATCTGCCAAAAATATATCTTTGAATTTTAAATTACTAAGGAATTCCATCAGGGAGGACAAAGCCTCAGGTGTTGCTGAGGGGAGACGATAACAACAGACTACAGATAAAATCTGGCCTCCATTCAAAGTGATGTTTTCAGCTAAGGCATCAATTTGGTTTGGAATTGTTTTAGAAGACACAAGACTAGCAACCAGAGAATCTCTGATGTAAACAGCGACTCCACCCCCTCTTTTTTTGACGATCATAATCCATTGATTACCAGGTCATTATTCAGTACAGATTTGTTGAGCCAGGTTTCAGAGATGAAGATTACATCTGTCCCAGAAGAACTGACCAGAATTTTCAAGGCATCAAGTTTTTTCAAAAGGCTGCGTGCGTTTACATGCAGAAAATGAAGTCCTGACATGTTTTTAAAGTAATTTGGTGTCCTATAAATAGTGGGGGGTCCAGGGTTGGGCTGAATCCCTGACAGCAGTAACAGCATTATTATCAGACATTTTCTTGAGTTTTTCGTGACTGATGTGTAATTACAGGAGTTAGTAGTGTGACAATTAGCCCCCATAACCGAACCATGAGAAACATTAATGAAGACACGACCATTCAGAACTCAAAAACAGTGAAAGTTGCAGTGATGGGCAGATCCAGGTGTATTAACAAGATTCAGTGACTCCAGATAGTCTGAGATCTGAAAATAGTGACAATAATATGAATGGTGCAGAAAAATCTCAGACCATAAAGCGTCACAATTCAAATGGGCAAACAAACCCGACAAGGTGGCCCAACTGCAGTTTGAGTTGGGCTGAGGGGGGCTCCGGCCCCCCTGTGAAGATGGATGGATGCTCCCATGAGAAACAGAAGCTGGGTCCAGAACCAACAGGCAGAAACTGATAATTTGCAGCAAATAGCAGAGCGAGCTGCCAGAAAATCCTCCTGAAATGAAAGGCATGGTCCTATATAGCTTGTTTCAGGTCAACGGGGGACAACAGTGTGATCCAAAATAAAATGAATTATTATCCAGGTGAGTTTGGATGGAGGCCTGCAGCAACTCCGATGCAAACTCCGAACTTCTCTCGAGCACCACACAGCGCTGCTCCTCCGCTTCTCTGCACATCACCTCCGTATCCGACAGCACGAGAGGCAACCCCGGTGAAAACTACGAGACTGACCGGAGAGACTGAGGCTGAAGTCATCACTGGTCCAGTTCTGCTCCAGTCTGGCTCCGGCACACCACAGCACGAGAGACGAAGAGGCTGAAGTTGTCCCTGGCCTGGTTCTGCTCCGGTCTGGTTCCAGCGGCGCTTCAAAAAATCAGAGCGTCTCCTCCAGGAGAACACAGCGATTCCATGGAGGTGGACCGTCCTTCGTTAAAAGTAACGGGCTGCTCACTGAGGCTGAGACCAGCTCTATTAAAGATCAAGTCCCCCACAGCCAACTCGGTTCGGTTCTGGTCCAGTTCGGGGGGGACACAGGTACACTTCCCCCACACCAATGAAGACACTATGAGGGCCAGTCCAGCAGAAAACCAGCGAAATACCACCCGGCGATTCTCGTCGGAACCAGGTAGAACCACAAAGGTCCAGATGTTTAGTTCGTTGGGGTCCAGAGAGAGAGAGAAAACACAGGACCTTCATGCGACGACTCCCCAGCTCGAGGGGTCACCTGGCCGGCAGGGTGCGCTCAGAGTGACCAGTGGGGTGGGAGCGGCTGGTCCTGGACCAAAATATTATATTTTTGGACGGTCCTTTCCAGCTCTCTGAGTCACTGAACTCCGAATTCGGGTGGAAGGGAGACCAACATTTGTCCAGTTCGAAAAACAGGTCAGTTTGATCATAAAAGACTATAGAGATGCCGGTTGGAGCTTCTGTCCATCAGCTTGCCGGAAGTGAATTCTAACTGTTTTTTGTTACATTTTCTTTTAAATACCATTTTATTTTCACTTTCTCAATGGGATTAACCTGTGTAAATAAAGGTTGAATGAATGAAGACTTGCTGAGGAGAAATGGGCTTGCAGAATCTGTTGACATAATAAAGGGCACAGTAGAAAGATGGAGCCCCTAATATTATGCTTTGCCATTAAAAATAAATGCAGTTTTCTAACCCAAGTCCCAACATCTTTAAACCACCCTGGCCAAAGAAACCAATGCTTAACCTTCTCCTGCAATTTCTGTACTCCTAAATGACCTCCATTAGGAACGTTATGCAGTTTTATTAAAACTTCAGATACCTTAGATTAAGGCAACACAACTTGTACCTGTGAGGCAGCATCTGAGTGTGCTGGAGCCATGTGCACAAGCCTAGACCCTTGTACTTCAGGCTGATCCCATATCCACACCTAGGGACAATTTTAGAGTTACCAATTAGCCTAGCATGCATGTTTTTGGTCTGTGGGAGGAAAACGGAGCACCTGGAGAAAACCCATGCATGCACGGAGAGAACATGCAAACTCCACCCAGAAAGGCCCCTGGACCGGGATTTGAACCGGAGACCTGCTCGCTGAGAGGCAGCAGCTCTACCAGTTGCACCACCGTGCTGCCCCCCTCAACAGTTTCATCTTTGGGACCCAGAAGAAGAGGACAGTGGAGTGCTGGACCTGTCCAATGCCAGTTCAGGGAAGTCCAGGTGGATGTTGGCAGCATCACTGGCCTGACAATATCCATCATATAGAGAGGCCCTCATCAAGGAAAGAACAGTGAAGTTCCCCTGTGAGGGACGATGGGGGGGGGGGGGGGGGGGGGAGGGGGTTTTTGGGTCGGCATTGTTTGCCAAAGGACTTTATCATCTGGAGAGGGTCGTCCTGTTTGCCAGCGAAAAATGCCAGCTTGGTCTAAACTTCATAGTATGGACATGTAAGGACTTGAGGGCGAGTCATTTTAGGTCAAAGTGGGGGAGTATGACGTACGTGGGCAAGACTCATCAGAAGAGGCTAACAAAGGACAGTTGTGTCAATCTGTAGAGGAGCAGCACCCATCTGTCCTTTGTTGTCTCCTCACCTACTCTGATAAATCTTGCCCAAGCACATCACACCTATCTCTCATAAAGCTCAGATTGGTGAACAGAGGCAACAGTTCCTGTATGCTTGTACCTCCTTCAGAATGGTCTCAGGTGTCTTGGTGGTCTCTCTTTGTTCTCCTTCTTCACAGTCACTCAGTTTGTCAGGACGAGCTGTCTTGATGATGGATTTACCAGAACTCCTGGAGAAGTTTAGGGCCTTAGAAATCCTTCTGTCTCCATCCTCTGACTTTACTTTTAACAATATTTTAATTGAGTTATGAGAGTCATTTTAAAAAGGGTGAATATTTACACAGTCACTTGTTTCAGATTGTATATTTGTATTTAATTGGTATTATATAGTGATTTCGAATTAACTTTGAAATTGAAGGACTTATTTTTATATATATATTTTTTTACATATGGCCATTATTATATGGCCATTATCATAAGGCAGTAATAGTATGTAAAAACACCCCAGTGGGTGAGTACTTTTTAAAGACACTGCAGTTTTTCACACTTCCTTCAACACCATGGTGCCTCTCACCATCCCGATCAGGGATGCTAATAGGACATTAAAGAAGCTGAACCTGTAAACCGCTAGAACGGACTGTTACCCTCTGACAGTATCGTCGGTCCAGGTCAGCAGTCCCCCATCTGAATCAAGCACAGAACGCTGCTTCCTTTTCCAAGTGGTTGAACTTGCTTTAGGTCTACCAGATGTCTGTTCCACAATCTCTGAATTCATCTCATTTCAGAGCACTTGTCTCCACAACCTGAAAAGTCACCGTTCTTGTGGCCAACGTGTACCTGTGATTTGCTACAGGAGTCCTCAGGGACTGACAAGTCCTAAAGGACTTGAACAGACCCTGATGATCAGAGCCCTCCCTTTGGGGCTTTGTTTGGCTTGTGTGTGAGTTGTTCTTCGTTCTGACAAGATTCTGAGTTTCTACATTCATTTTACATTTCATTGGATATCACTAGGCCCTCCAGCGTCTTCGTGAGTTTTCAGCTCCTCACACAAACCTGGCTTCACTCTTCCAGTCCAGACACAGACGTCGAGTTAACAGGCTTTACGACCAGGAGGACCGGAGGAGGACCGGTGGTGAAGAAGACCGGGGGTGTTTTGTTTATTGAGACAGCTGATGTTCCAACGCTTGATTTTAGTCTGACAGTTTATTTATTTAAATATCAGTGATTGTTAGTCCTTACAAAAATATATTCACGTTTTACAAACAACTTTTAGATTAATCTTCCTTTGTAACCTGCATCTCTGACATTCTCAAACTGAAACTGATCTAACAAGCTTTGAGATATTGCGATCAAAAATGGCTTAAAAACACTATTCTGTTTTTAATTTGCATTTGCCTGAAGTCACACGTCGTGTTTCTGAAGGAGATTTTGACAAATTTAATCAAAAATAATACATTATAATAAAAAACAGAACCACAGCAGGTGAAATGATCTGTGGTTAAAGTTAACAACAACAAAACAACTCAGCAAGAAAATAGATGACTTTAACTTTAAATACATCATCAGTTGTTTTTTTTTTTGTTTTGTTTTTTTACAGTCAAACTTATAAACAGAAAAAGATCAACAAATCCAAAAGCCTGGTTCTGTGATGGTCTGGGCTCGGGTCAGTGTTTATTCACTCGATCAGCTCTTCATCTGTTGTTTAAGGTGCGTGTATCGCATGAGGCTCCACCCTCTTTTCAGCAGATTTGCCTATGGCACCCTCAGGTGATCCGATGCAGCAAGAATCCTGTGAAACTGTTGTCCTTTGACTCCGCCCACTCCCCACTCCTCACCTCCAGTCTCACCTCCTCCCCTTCCCTTAGCAGCAGAAAGCTCATGCCACTAACAAGACCCGCCTCCGTCACTTCCTGTTGCAGCACAGACACAGAAGCTCCGCCCCTGTCTTGACCCCGCCTTAGGAGCACGTGGGCAGAGCCTGGCCTCAGGTCTAAGTTGAGGATGAACAGGTACATCCCGTCTACCGGAGCCATGAAGATGCCGGCATTGGAGTAGACCTGACCCTGATTCTGAGACGGTTGGAACAAGACGGCACCTCTGGAGAGCTTCAGAGGAGCTCCGCCCACAAACAGCAGAGAGACGTCTGATTGGTCGAATGATGCAAACACACCTGGAGAGAGAGAGAAAAAAGGTGTAAAACAGACATCCATCAAAGGAAAGAGACCAGACTCAGGAGAGGCATTGCGGTCAGCTGTAGACCCAGGAGCAAACTTTTTGAAGTTGGCGGTGGATAACAAGCTGGTTGCAGATTGGATTGGAATGGCGACTCAGGTAGACGATGATGACGATATGGAAATGAATGATTGGACTCAGGTGACTGGAAGAGGACAAGGAAGAGGAAAAAACAAGCCGAAAGTTTGGGCTGCAAATACAAAACGAACCTTAGATGAAATAAGTTCAGATGAAGGAACTAATGTTGAGAGCAAAAAATTGGTAAGAGAAGAGTTCAAGATAATTATAAAATTCAAAGAAGATGGAAATACACAATTAGGCCCCATAGAGGTGTCAAAAGATCTAAAAAAGAAAGTGGGGGAAATACATTTTGCTAAAATCCTTAGAGACGGGAATTTGTTGATAATAGTGAAAACAGAAGAGCAGAAAAATAAAGTAATGCATATTGATAAACTCTGTAAAAAGGAGGTAAGAGAAAAGAAAATAACGAGGGGAGTGATCACTGGGATCCCAATGGATGAAGACTTGGAAAAACTCATAAAGAATATTTCTGAATATGAAATTAACAAAGTGACAAGACTAACAAGAAACATTAATGGAGAACGAGTTCCAAGCATGTTGATAATGTTGGAGTTTAAAATGGAGAGACTCCCAGAAAGAATAAAAATAGGATTTCTAAGTTTTCCAGTCAGGCCGTTCATTCCCCCACCTGTCAGATGTTACAAGTGCCAAAGATATGAACACATAGCTGCAGTGTACAGAGGACAGCAAAGATGCCCAAGATGTGGAGGAAACCACAAATATGAAGACTGTGAAGAAAATCAAGACAAGTGCTGTAACTGTGGAGGACAGCACAGGGTGACATATGGGGGATGTGAGGTTAGAAAGAAGGCAGTGGAAATTCAACAGGTAAAAACAACCAACATCAGTTATGCAGAAGCAGTAAAAAAGGTGCAAGTACAGAAAGTTAGAATGGAAAATGTAAGAACCCAACAAGTAGTAACACCAAGTCAAACACAGATAGAACAAACAAAACCAGAGTCTGAAGTTACAGTAGAAAAGATCATGTTGTTCATTGCTTATGTTATCAACTGTACAGACCAAGTCAAACACAAAACTGAAAAAATCAAGATCATAGTGAAAGGAGCAGAAAGGTTTTTGGGGATAAAAGACATAACATGGGAACACATTAACAAGACACTTGGGGGAGATGGGAAAACGGGAACACCAGGGGAGAGAGCCGTATGATCATCTTACAGTGGAACGCCAGAAGTTTAACAGCAAACGGACAGGAATTTAAAGGGTTCATTAAAAACAGCACAAACAAACCAGATATAATATGCATCCAGGAAACATGGCTCAGTTCTAACCTAGATTTTGTAATCAAAGGATATACCAATATAAGGCGAGATAGAGAGGAGGGTAAGGGAGGGGGTTGTATTATTTTCATTAAAGAAGGAATTCAACACAGATTATCAACAAAAGGATCAAATTTAGAGTTTATAATAATTGAGACATGGACAAAAAATGGAAATATCAAAATCATAAATTATTACAACCCAGGTAAAAGATTGACAATAGAAACTCTGGATAATATTATTTCACATTTAGATGGGAAAGTAATTTGGTGTGGTGATTTTAATGGGCACAGTACATTATGGGATACTCATAATGATCACAATGGTTTAATAATTGAGGAGATTATGGATAATAAAAATCTAGTTTGTTTAAATGATGGAAGCAGCACAAGAATAAATATCACATCAGGAACAGAATCAGCAATAGATCTCACATTAGTTTCAGACTCACTGGCAGGAATCAGTTCATGGCAAGTTCTTAAAGACACCACAATAGGCCGTGATCACAATCCCATAATAACAAAACTGGATTTAGAAACACGACAATATGATACACGGGGAGCACATACATAGAATTTCACTAACGCTAATTGGGCAGCATTTTTGGGAACGAGTGACAGAGACATGGGGAAAATAGATTTAGACGTAGAAATGAATCAATTAAACATGTCCATTTGTTCATCTATTGTAGAAGCAGCAAACAAATCTATAAAGAAGAAAGGAGGGAAGAATAACAAAAAGATTGTTCCATGGTGGACAAAGGAGTGTGAAAAAGCAATTAAGATGAGAAATAAGGTGTTTAAAAAATTAAAAAAGAATCATAATTCTCAGAATCATATCGAATAGAAAAAACAACAAAGCATTGTAAGAAGAACCATAAAAAATACAAAACAAGAATATTGGAGGTGATTCTGTAGTTCAGTGGGGAGAGAAACGGAAATAGGTAAAGTTTGGTCGATGATTAAAAGAATGAATGGAGTGAGACAAGAGTATGGGTATCCAGTTTTGAGTGATGGAGAAGTAACGGCAGTTGAAAATAAGGAGAAAGCGGAAAAACTTCCGGCTGAATGGCGGTGAGATAAGGTGTGTTTGGGTGTGCTCCTACAGAATTAGCCTTTTCTCTGATTAATGCCTGGGCACTTTTTCCCGAGTCCGACAGCAAACAATAGCTAACTTACACACTTTACATAACCCTCCTATTTGGCCATTAAAATGCCACCAAAACCGACTAAAGGGGTAAGTTCGATCCACGCTCACCTGCGGCCTAATCCTCGTAGTGAAGCCTCGAGCTGTCCTGGATCACCTCCTCCGTCTGAGGGCGACGTCAGCAGCCTTAAGCAAGAAATACTTGTAGCTCTCCGAGAGGACCTTGCTGCTATAATTAAAGCAGAATTCCATGCTGTTCTGGGTGAAAGTCTCTCGTCGATTAATGCCGAGCTGTCCGCCTTCAAAAAGGAGCTATCGTCTGGGCTAGCAGCGGTGCAGGAGAGCTTCACGGGGCTAAAGCTAACGGTAACAGAGGTGGAGAAGTCCGTCTCCACCTGCACTGACGACATCGTGAACCTCCAGAAAACAGTTGACGTCCTTACTAAGACGGTGGCACAGTTGGAGGATAAGTGCGATGACCTGGAGTCCCGGTCTCGACGTCAGAACATCCGCATCATTGGTGTTCCGGAGGATGACCCATCAGCGGCGACAACGGCTGCGGTATCTCGGATGCTAAAGGAGGCCTTCGACCTCGAGGAGGAGCCGCTGCTGGACCGCGCTCATCGCATCCCAGCCCCCAAACCGAAAGCAGGCGAGCGGGCCCGTCCGATTGTAGCTAAGTTTCACTACCAAGCGGACTGTGTGAAAATCTTGGCCAAGGCGAGGGAGTTGCAGCGGGTCAAAGTGAACAGTACGAATATCTTCGTCTTCCCTGACTACACTGCCAAAACGGCCCGGGCGCGGGCGGCCTTCACGGAATGTCGTCGCAAGCTGCGGGACATCGAGGGGGTTCGGTTCGGCCTGCTCCACCCGGCCCGGCTGAAGATCACGTTTGAGGGTAACACGCGGGTGTTTACCTCTGCTGAGGAGGCGAAGATTTACATTGAGTCGATTACAAAATGAGCATTACAATTAATATGATCGGTCTCACACTCAGGAACGTCAGTATTATTAGTCATTATTATTATTCAGGTTTGAAAATAAGGAGAAAGCAGAAATGATGGCAAAAGCTTTTATTAAAATTCATAGTTCAAACCATATTAGTGACGAAGGGAAAAGAGGAAGAGAGAGAACCATAACAGAATATAGAAAATTATTAGAAGAAGAGGAAGGAGAAAAGGATTTATTAAATATACCATTTACCAAAACCGAATTAAACCGAGCACTTCAAAAATGTAAACTATCAGCACCAGGGAATGATCAGATTTGTTACATAATGATTAAACACCTCAGTGAAGCATCAAAAGATATTATTTTAGAATTATTCAATAGAGTCTGGCAAGAAGGAAAAATACCACAGTCTTGGAAAGAAGCAGTAATCATCCCAATACGAAAACCAGGAAAAGATCACACCAAACCAGAGAACTACAGACCGATAGCTTTAACATCTAACATCTGCAAAATTATGGAGAAAATGATAAATGAAAGAATAGCATATTATGTAGAAAAAAAAAGGTTATATGTCCAAATATCAAAGTGGTTTTAGAAAAGGAAGAAACACGATGGATCCAGTCTTGTGTCTGGAGCATGAGATCAGGAAAGCCCAGATTAATAAAGAAAGTGTGGTAGCTGTATTTTTTGACGTAGAGAAAGCGTATGACATGATGTGGAGAGAGGGACTACTTATAAAAATGAAAAAAATGGGAATCACAGGACGAATGTTTAAATGGATTAAAAATTTTCTATCAGACAGACAAATACAGGTGAGAATAGGACAAGATTACTCTGACAAATACTTCATAGAAAATGGGACACCACAGGGAAGCATAGTTAGCCCTCTGTTATTCTCTATAATGATCAACGACATGTTTGATGGTGTAGAAACAGGAATGGGAAGGTCTTTATTTGCAGATGATGGGGCTTTGTGGAAGAGAGGCAAAAATTTACAATTTATTATAAAAAAGGTACAGGAAGTAATAAAAACAGTTGAAAAATGGTCAAATAGATGGGGATTAAAATTTTCAGTAGAAAAGACAAAATCAATAATTTTCACAAGAAAAAACATACCTAATAATAATGAACTCAAGTTGTACGGGAAAGTAATTGAAAGAGAAAAACAGTTTAAATTTCTGGGCATCTGGTTTGATGAGAGACTAACATGGACAGTGCACATCCAAAAAGTTACTGACAAATGTAAAAAGATTCTAAACATCATGAGGTGTTTGACAGGGAAAGACTGGGGAGCAGACAGGAAAGCACAAAGGACCATCTACACAGGATTAATCAGATCAATAATAGACTATGGGAGTATCGTTTATAGTTCAGCTTCAGAAACAAATTTAGAAAAGTTAAACAGTATTCAATATCAGGCATTAAGGATTATTACCGGGGCATTCAAAACAACACATACAGGATCAATATTAGTAGAAATGGGAGAACCACCACTGAACATCAGAAGAGAACAATTAGCATTAAATTACTGGGCAAATCTGAAAGGACACGAACAAAACCATCCAACACAAGAAATATTAAAACCTTGCTGGGAGAAAGAAAAGAAACGCACAAAAAACTTTGGATGGACCATAAATCAAAAATCAGCAGAAAGTCAAGTAGATGATCTTAACGTCAGCCCAACAGTTCCACTTCCAAACATACATCCATGGTTATTCACAGACACAACAGTTGATTTAAAAATATTAGAACAAAATAGAAATGGATTGATTTCAAATACAGTTATTGAGCATGTAGTGAACTAAGCCTCAGGTCAAAACCTGACCCTGAGGATCTTCATGGGACAGAAACTGTTATTTCATTGATTTGAGTCCAGAAATACGAATTAAGCTCATCCAGAGACTTTCTAAGTGTGTCCTGCACTAATCAATTGAAAGAACACTCTCTTTTTATATTATCATTACTATTTTGGAATATCTTGATAATCAAAGTGTGTTTAGTTCAAACCATTTTAAATGATGAAGTGAACTACTCATTTTAAATCAACTGTGAAACAGTATTAATGATTTTTAATCCTCATTCAAAGTAGAAATCAAGTTAGATGTCTGTTACAAAGTAATTATGCATTTTTTGATCTTCTGTCTGAAATGAGAAGGAGTGATGTCGGTCAAAAGTCGGAGACAGTCGCAAACAAGTTTATTGGAACGAACTGTCATGTTTTTAAACCTATCAGACAGAAATAAGAAACTGCTGGCACCTGTGGTCTGTCATTTCGCCTAAACATTTCTCTGTCTGTTCCTAAAACATCTCACTGTTTTTCTGACTTGTAGTAACCTCTTACGTCACTAAAACCACACCCCTGTTGGTTCTTTCAACAAATCAGGACTTCTCAAATGAACCGGAAACAGAACTCTTTAAATGTCGACACTTCCTAGTTCCAGTCAGTTCTGAGAGCAGAACCGAACAGAAAGGTTCTGAGACATGAACCAGAGTTCTGAGAGCAGAGCCGAACAGGAAAAGTTCTGAGACATGAACCGGAGTTCTGGGAGAGAACAGAAGTTCTGAGTTCCTCTGAGTCTTCTCAGAGTCCCGTTAAGTTCTTCTGATACTGATGAAGTTCGGCTGGAGTTCCTGTAGGAGCCACGATGCCTCGCTGTGACTCCACCCGGTGAAAACTTCATAACTTCTGAGGAGGTTTGTTCTGTGGAACTAGTTCTCACGACTTCTGCCGAGTCGCAGCCGCCCTGAGGAGACGCTGAAAGGTAGCGTATCAAGGACCTCTTGACCGCCGCGGATTCATCCTCCGCCAAAGGTAAAGAGTTGCCATGAACTTCACTACCAGTGTACCGCGGGCGAACTGCGCTTCAAAGGAGCGTGTTGTTCTGGTCTACAGACATACATCTTCATCCATCTTTTTCATCTCTATTTAAACTACTTCATTTCCCATCTTTAAAACTCTTCTATCTTGCCAGTAATTAATCCAGATATTTTCAGAAATGTCTGTTGTATTTTAGTTGCAAGTGAGAAATCATGGCCGTATGATTTCTCATTGTAAAGCTCATTAATTAAGCTGTTATTGCGTTCAATCAGAATAATCAAGTGTACAATGTTGATGTTAAATTTTGATTCTGTTAATAAATGACCACACTCATTTTGATGGGTCAAAGAAAATTAACGTCTCATGTCACTGGTTTTTAGACCATCTCCCACACAGTATCTCTGTCACATATCTGTCAAGTAGCTCGAAAAAGAGAGAACCCGTCATTAAATAGTGATTGTAGTGAAGCTAACTGAAGCTAACCGACCCTATATCACTACAAGCACATCAATAAATATTATGGATATGTAAAAATATATAGACGCTTCAAAAAATACAGCAGGGCAAATAGGGGCAGCATTTATTGTACCAGAGTTTGGAGTTAAAGTAGGGAAGAGATTAAAACAACAAATTATCAGTATACACCGGAGAAATGGTCGCAATATTACTGGCAGTTCAATGGATAGAAGACAATCAACCACTCAGATCAGTCATATGCTCAGATTCCAGTTCATCAGTAATTAGTATAAAAAACAGTTGTTCAGAAAGCAGACCAGACATATTGACAGAAATACAGCAAACATTATTCAAAATTAATATGATGGGGTTAAAGGTTACATTTTTATGGATTCCAGCTCACATAGGGATAAGAGGAAATGAAATGGCAGATAAAATTGCAAAGGAGGCCACCAAACACAACTCAGTGGAAATAGAGGTAAAATTCAGTCGGGCAGAAATAAAAAGCATCACAAAACAGGGAATGAGGGAAAAATGGCAAAAGCAATGGGAAGAAGAAAGAAAAGGTCGATGGTTCTAGGGGCCGAGATGGTGTAGAGGCAGGGCAGCCGGCTTGGGACCCGAGAGTCCCAGGTTCGATCCCCAGTCACTGCACATCACGTGGCGTCTCTGGGCAGCACGTCTAATCCCCAAAATGTCCCCCGGGCGCTTTCAATAGCTGCCCACTGCACCACCTGGTGGTGGATGGGTTAAATGCAGAGCCTAATTTTGCCATTGTATGGAAACATACAGTGCTGACATTGTGATGACATTATTATTATTATTATAATTCAACGAAAAGTTGGAGAAATGAGAAGAGCTGAAAGAAACAGAAGGGAAGAAACTGTCATCTCAAGACTCAGATTTGGACACACAGGATTGAACAGGACCTTATTCATCATAGGGAAACATAACACGGGAAAATGTGACCATTGTGGGGAAGATGAGACCATACAACACGTGCTAATGATCTGCCAAAACTACCATCATGAAAGAAGACAAATGATTCAAAGACTCGATGCAATAAATGTCAGATTTGACCCTGTAGTGCTGCTCCAAGCAAATTCAAGTTCTGCAAGTACCAACATCTTGTTGAAATACCTGAAAAGGACTCAGTTGTTCGAGAGAATATGAGCGTTATTTATTCTTATGGATATAATTTATTTATTTTTTATTCTTTTTATTTTATTTATTTTTTATTTTTTGAGCAACATTCCAGTTGACAAACTAAAACAGCAGATGGCGGTAATGCTTCAAAATCTTGAATGCCAACCGCCAAAGAAAAACTAAGAAGAAGAAGAAGAGACCAGCTGTGCCATATGGTCTGGAGACAGAGACATAGACAAAAAGTCAGGAGACAGAACTGGAAGTTGCAGAAATGAAAATGTTGAGGTTAGTGACAAGGATGGTTAAGATAAGGATGAGATCATCAGAGGTACAGCACAGGTTGAACAACTAGGAGATAAAGTTAGAGAGACCAGACTGAGATGGTTTGGACATGTCCAGAGGAGGGACAGTGGGTATATTGGTAGAAGGATGTTAGAAATGCAGCTGTCAGGAAAAAGACAAAGAGGAGATATATGGATGCAGTTAGAGAGGACATGGAGGTAGTTGGAGTGAGGACAGAGTGAGATGGAGGAGGATGGCTTGCTGTGGAGACCCCTGAAGAGGGAACAGCTGAAAAAAGAAGAGTTAATGTGACTAACATGAAAACCTTTTGGACTCACCTGGCTCCTCCCTTCTGCTGCGGCTCTTTCTCCCTCCTCTTCCTCTTTTCTTCTTGTCTCTCTTCTTCATCAACTCCCACAGCTTGTCTAGATCCAGTGTCTCATGGGTTGCTGCCAGCAGGTCTGAATTACTGAACACATTCTTGAAGACTCTCAGGTGTTCCTGCAGCTCTTTCTTCAGCCACATGACCTCCTCCAGCAGCTGAACCTTTACTCCTGTGGGGGGCGCCTCCCTGTCGGTGGGAGAGTTGTTGCAGGAGCAGGGGTTCTCCTCCAGCTGGACCAGCCTCTGTTGCAACTCCTCTACCTTCTGCTCTAAGTTCCACAGGTCGCTGCCATCTCCAGCATGCTGCATCATCTCAGGGTGGAGGAACAGCGGCTGGTTCTGCACTAATGGCCCCCCTCGGCTGCTTCCTCTTAGTCCACCAGGTGGCCAGTCTGAGGGGAGGGAGGAGGAGGGCTGGTCAGCAGATGGCACCTCCTCTCTGTCTCCTGAGAAGAAAAGGAGTCAGAAATGAGTCCCTGCTGATGAGCCTGAATGTAGGGATGGCACCATCTTGTGGGCCTTCTCTGTCTGTGCACTCTTGTGTGTCTCATTTTATCCAATTAATTTCATCCTAGTCTCGTGCCAGTTGTTTGTGATCACGTCCTGTCTTGTCGTTGTATATAAGTCTGTCGGTTAGTCTTGTTCATTGTTGCGTCGTCATTGGGTTTTGCCTATCCTGTCCAGTCTAGTCTGATCCTGTCTGATCCCGTCCTGACCCTATTTTGTAAGTTTGCTGCCATGTCAGTCTTTTGATTTTTCATTCATTCAGCCTTTATTTATTAAAAGTAATTTAATTTATACGTCTGCCTCCTGAGTTTTGCCTGCTCAACTGGGTTCTCTCCTGTCCTGACCTGCCTGAAACCCTGACACTGAACTTCAGTTTGGATCTCATAAAGAAGTTCTGATGGGATTATGTTTAGGCTCCGCTCATTAACTGATTCTTCAAGACTGGATCAACGGCCCCTTTTCGTAGGAATCAGTGAACTGGTAGATGCCAGAATAACTTGTTTCCACCACTGCAGCCAGTTGACAGATGAAGATTATTGATTTGGACCGGTGTTGTAACAAGTTGGGTTTCAGAAGGAAACCATTGAAACCAGATTAAACCAATCAGAAATAAAGATTAGGCCTGATTGAATTTATGAAGCAGCAGCAGGTCTGAGTGGGTTTGAGACTTTCCCAGATCCATTTTCTTTGTAGGTCCTCATCTGTTGAAAATGAGTGAAAGAAAATAAATACATTTGTGGGCGGCTGTGGCTGAGTGGTTAGAGCAGTCGTCCTCCAATGCGAGAGTTGGGGATTCGAATCCACCAGCAGTCACATGCCGAAGTGTCCCTGGGCAAGACACTGAACCCCTCATAGCCTCTGATGTGTGTCCCATCAGTGTTTGAATGTGAGTTAAAGCACTGATTAGTCTCATTAGAGTGATTTGTTCAATTAGCTTTGTAGAGATGTAGAGTGCTGTATGAATGGGTAAATGAGGACACAGATTGTAGTGTAAAGCACTTTGAGTATCTTGAAATAAGATAGAAAGGCGCTATATAAGTACAGTCCATTTACCATTTAAATAAACAAATAAATACACTGCCTGGCCAAAAAAAGTCGCTGCCTGGATTTAAGCAAATCACTACAAGCCTCCTATTGGATAATTACTGCATGGGTGATTATCTTCCAGCTGCAACAAGTTATTTAACCCCAACTGGTGCAATGAATTGCTTCTCATTTCTTCAACAACCATGTTGAAAGACACATCGCGTGGTCGTGGAAAAGATGTCAGTCTGTTTGAGAAGGGTCAAATCATTGGCATCAAGCAGAGAAAACATCTAAGGAGATTCAAAAAAGTTAAATCTGGTCCTCTGGACATTCAAAAAAACAAAACAAAGCAAAAAAAAATATATAGAAACGTTTCGTCTCTCATCCAAGAGACTTCCTCAGTCTGAGGTGCTGTATTCAGCTTAGTCTCTTAAATAGCACCTTCTCAGAGTGGATCAACCAGTTTGCTGCTGACAACCAAAACCAGCTGATCACATGCTCAAGAAGGACAATCAGCCTAACAATGGATCATTAGCACACTGATGGCTGTTACTATTCACAGAGGGCTGAGTGATCCTAGCAATCACAGCATTGTAAGAGGGGGACAGTTGAACCCGGAGGCCTCCACCCCTGTTTAATGATGGATGATTTCTTTTCACAAAGATGGCCTCCTTTACTCCTCTCTCAAACCATCGTTCCTCTCTATCCATGATGTGCACATCTTCATCCCTGAAAGAGTGACCGCTGGCCTGGAGATGAGTGTAGGCCGCAGAATCCTGGCCTGATGATGTTGATCTTCTGTGCTGGGCCATCCTTTTGGCCAGTGGCTGTTTAGTTTCCCCGATGTAAGACTGATCCCAGCCCTCCTGACACTGAACAGCATACACAACATTACTCTGTTTGTGCTGGGGGACTGGATCTTTGGGATGAACCAGTCTTTGCCGTAATGTATTTTGGGGTTTAAAAGCCACTGGGACGTTATGTTTAGAAAATAAACGTCTCAGTTTCTCTGATACTCCCTCAACATATGGAATGACCACTGGTCTGGGTCTGGGTTCCTCCTTTTCACCTTATGGCTGACTGGAGTCCTGTTTGCATTTCTTCTCTGCTTTCAGGAAGGCCCAGTTAGGATATCCACATTGCTCTAGAACCTGTCTTGTGTGGGATTTTTTTCTTCTGCCTGGCTCCTGAGCTAGTGGGGACGCTGTCTGCTCTGTGATACAGAGTCCTGATGACTCCTAACTTGTGCTCCAAAGGGTGATGGGAGTCAAACTGCAAATACTGGTCTGTGTGAGTGGGTTTGTGGTACACCTCGGTTTGCAAATGTCCTCTATCAGAGACTGAGACCTCACAGTCCAAGAAAGCCAACTTGCCATTTTTTTCATCTTCTCGTGTGAACTTGATGTATTTATCCACAGAGTTGATGTGGTCAGTAAAATGTTGGACTTCCTGAGATTTAAGTTTAACCCAGGTGTCGTCAACATACCTGAACCAATGACTTGGTGGTGTCCCTGAAAAGGACGTCAAGGCTCTCTTTTCTACCTCCTCCATGTACAGGTTGGCAACAATAGGAGAAACTGGAGACCCCATAGCACACCATGTTTCTGCCTATAATATTGCTCCCCATATGTGAAGTAGGTTGACTGCAGGCACAGTTTCAAGAGTTGACACAGTTATTCTGTGGAAAGCGTGGTCCTGCTGCTCAGAGTGGTGTCTGATTTTAATTTTAAACTGACCACCTCTACTGCATCATCAACAGGAATGCACGTAAAGAGTGATGTGACATCAAAAGAGACCATTGTTTCATCAGTCTCCATGATGACATCCCTCACCTTATCCACAAAGTCCATGGTGTTCTGTATGTGGTGTTCTGAGATGCCAACTAAAAGGATGAGTACAGACGCCAGATATATGGAAACATTGTAAGTGACAGAGTTAATCATGCTAATGATTGGTCTTAAAGGTACACCTTGTTTGTGGATTTTAGGTAAACCATACAGACTAGGTGTGGCCTCCCCTGGGTACAGTCTGTGGTACAGAATACGGTCAATAGCCTTGTCCTGCTCCAAAATTTTCAGGCAATCTATTAACTTCTTCTTGTAACCACTTCCTGGATCTCTTTTCAGAGGTTCATAAGTGGTTAAGTCACTAAGGAGTGTCATAACTTTCTCATGATAGTCTTTCTGGTTCAAAATCACTGTGCACCTTCCTTTGTCTGCTGGGAGAATGATGATGTTTTTGTCCTTGCTGAGAGTGGTGAGTGCATCCCTCTCCTCTCTACTGATGTTGGAAGGTGGTGGTTTGGCATTGCTGAGGCAGGATGAAACTTTGATTCTGAGCTGTTCTGCTTCACCCTCTTTCATTTTGTTGTTGCGGATGGCTGATTCTGTGGCTGTGATCATCTCCACCAGAGGAATTCTACTTGGTGCAACCGCAAAGTTCACTCCCCTGGCAAGAATCTCTGTCTCCGGCTGGGTGAGCTGTCTGTCAGATAAATTTTTCACCCACTTTTCTGTCTCCCTGGCATGTAATTGTCTACTGGAGTGTTGTCCTACACTGAATGTGTTGTTATTGGAATAATGATGGTGTTGATGAGCTATTAGTACGTTAAACTTGCTTTGTTGTCGAGTCTTGGACTTGACATGCTGTGCTAAGCGTGCCTGATCTGTACAGTCCAACACTTGCTGATGTGTGGTCTGATCTAGACACGTTGTTAGTTGTTGTTTAATGTGCTCTTCTTTGGCCTTCAAGGCCTCAATAGTAAAATTGGTCTGTCGGATTTTTCTACCTGGATTATTGAGCATGCATCAAGATATCTAAGGAGATTGTAGAAACTACTAAATCTGGGTTAAGAATTGTCCAACACATTATTAAAAACTGGAAGGATAGTGGGGACCCATTGTCTTTGAGGAAGAAATGTGGCTGGAAAAAAATACTGAATGATCGTGATCGGCGGTCACTTAAATATTTGGTGAAATCAAATCGAAGAAAAACAACATTAGCACTCAGAGCTATGTTTAATAGTGAAAGTAAGAATATTTCCACACACACAATGTGAAGGGAACTCAAGGGGTTGGGACTGAACAGCTGTGTAGCCTTAAGAAAACCACTAATCAGTGAGGCTAACCAGGAAAACAAGGCTTCAATTTGTTAGGGAGCATAAAGATTGGACTCTAGAGCAATGGAAGGTGGTCATGTGGTCTGAGTCCAGATTGACCCGGTTCCAAAGTGATGGGTGCATCAGGGTGAGAAGAGAGGCAAGTGAAGTGATGCACCCATCATGCCTAGTGTCTGGTTATCAATGCAAAATCTTGGTGAAAAATTAATGCAACGCTTGATGAAAATACATCTTGTGACGTTGCAGAAGCTTATTGAAAGAATGTCACAGTGAATGCATGATGTAATCAAAGCTAAAGACGGTCCCACGAAATGTTAGTCTGTGCCATTTTTGGGGGGCCAGGCAGTGTAGTTTTTGCTTATTGGACTTTTTTTAAATACAAATTTTTTTCATTCAACCTTTATTTAGACAGGTAAATCCCATTTTTATTATGTATAATTTAAAATAAATTTGTATTTTTTACTCATCATGATGATTGTGTGTTTTCCTTTTCTCATTCAACACCCAGGCCTGCGTTAAGGGTCTTTTCCTCCTGCCCTCCCTTCACCTTCAGAGGCAACACAGAAATCTGTTCAGGCTCCTGGAGCAGCGTTCTTTGCTGCTCTTCATAGATGAATACACCAGACGGGTTCAGCGGACCACAGAATTTCTTTCCAGACTCACGCACCTGGTGCAAGATCAACGGAAGGAGTCCCACTTCAGGAAAAAACAATTTGCTGGACCGTTGTTAAATAAATTTGGCTCATTCATCCAAATTTGAGCTCTTTAAGGGTGCATTCACACTAGCCCTGTTTAGTCCACTTTAATCGAACTCTAGCTCGTTTTCCTAGAAAGTCCGGATCGTTTAGGGAGGTGTGAACGCACCATCGAACTCTGACACGGAACAAAAAGGCGAACTCTGTCCTGGGCTAAAACCTAGATCTCGGTCAGGTAGAAACAAACTCCAGCGCGGTTTGAGTACAGTGTGAATGTAAACAGACCGGACCGCTCCACATGGTAAACAAACAGCATTTCTCTGAACTTATATGGAGCCGTCAGCTGCCTTGTGTGGAAAACAATATTCTCCATGGTCTTCTGTCTCATCTTCTGCTCATGCTAAGTCCATTTTTGAAAAATGACAAAATATAACTCCTAAAACTGCTAAAACTTGATGCCACTTCGTTTTTATTTTTATTTACAGAAGAAGAAGAAGACGTGTCTTCAGATGTTTTTGTGTTGTTTCTTTCAGTAGTTCTTGGTGCAGCGCCCCCACAGGCGAGCAGGGGAACAGGTTGGTTCAACAGGTTGACTTGACTGCACAGTGCAGTGTGAATGCAAACTCACCAGCTCAAATGTAAACAAAAGCTCATGAATATTGGTCCCGAACCGAGTCTACCGGACTATCTGGTGTGAAAACAACCTAAGACTGATCAACAGTGACAGTGTGAAATAATGCAATTTTGCAGACACATCTATGGGTGTATGGCCACCAATCTGAGCATTTAATTGCATGGCCACCAATGAACATTTAGGAAAGATGCTGGGCACTGCTGGGCGTTGAACCCAGGATCTCCCGTTTACTAGACAGGCACTTTGACTAACTAAGCCACAGCACTTCTCTTCTGGGGTATTGGGTATTCTATACTGGCTTTCTTTAGTTAAGTATACTTGTTTATTTGTTGTAAGAATGAAGACCCAAGAATATACAAAGTAAGGCACACATGGTGTATTTTTCCATCTCAAGAGATCCATGTTATACATAGCAGAAACAGCAATTAACATTAAAAATACTCAGCCTAGATACTTTTGAAAAAAGGGCAAATTTTAAAATGTTCACTTGGAAGAAATAAGGGCACTCCTGGTGTTTGAACCCAAGATCTCCTGTTTATAAGGCAGACACTTTGGCCATCTAAGCTACAGCGCCTTATTTTTAAAGAATATTCCTAGATCAACAACCTACTATTTAGCATCTGCTCTGGCATGATTAAATGATTTTCTGTGTTTCTGGAATTCTAGCAAATTTTTGTTCATCGTGATGGCTCACTCATCCAAATTTGAGCTCTTTTAGACTGTTCAACGGTGACAGTGTGAAAGGCAGCAGTTTTGCTGACATATCTATGGGTGTATGACCACCAATCTGAGCATTTATTTGCTCAGCCACCAATGGACATTAAGAAAATATGCTGGGCACTGCTGGGAGTTGAACCCAGGATCTCCTGTTTACTAGACAGGCGCTCTGACCAACTAAGCCATAGCACCTGTAATACAAGTTATTGCGTATTCTATCCCGAGTTTCTCTAGATAAGTATACTTGTTATTTTGTAAGAATGAAGACACAAGTAGACTGTAAGGTGCACACTGTGTATTCTTTTCTCTCTAGAAAACCAAGTTCTCTTCTTACATTATAATATGTAATTTATATAATTGTCTTAATAGGTCTACTTTTAGAGAACTAAGTTCTCTAGAAGTCAAAGTAACAAGAGCATTGTTATAATTTGAACCCAGGATCTCCTGTTTACAAGACAGATGCTTTGACCATCTAAGCTACAGCGCCTCATTTTTGAACATTATACCTGTACTTAGACCTACTATTAAGCTTCTGCTCTGGCATGATTAAATTATTTTCTGTAACTCTAACAAGTTTGTGTTCATCTTGACATTTACTGGACTTTTTTTTTTAATGCAAATTTGGCTCTTCTAAATTTGAGCTTTTAGACTGTTCAACGGTGACAGTGTGAAAGACAGCAGTTTTGCAGACACATCTATGGGTGTATGGCCACCAATCTGAGCATTTATTTGCATGGCCACCAATGAACATTTAGGAAAGATGCTGGGCACTGCTGGGAGTTGAACCCAGGATCTCCCGTTTACTAGAAAGGCGCTTTGACCAACTACGTCACAGCACCTGTAAAGGATGTTATTTAGTATTCTATCCTGGGTTTTGCAGATAAGTATAATTGTTATTTTGTAAGAATGAAGACACAAGTAGACTGTAAGGTGCACACTGTGTATTCTTTTCTCTCTAGAGAACCAAGTTCTCGTCTTACGTTATAATATGTAATTGATATAATTGTCTTAATAGGTCTACTAATTTCTCTAGAAGTCAAAGTGACAAGAGCATTGCTATAATTTGAACCCAGGATCTCCAGTATACCTGACAGATGATTTGGCAATCTAAGCTACTACTAAGTGTTTCTGCCGGTGAATGAAGAAACCCTGACCAGGTAAACCCACCTGTCTCGTGGGGAAGCCTCAGCTGCTCCTGCAGATCCCTGAGTTGCTCCTTGAGAGCTGGCAAGGTGTGGGCCTCCTGATCCTGGGGCGTCCACTCCAGGAACTCCAGCACCTCCTCCCCCAGCAGGAGCTGCAGCACCTCACTGTGCCGGATGGCGTCCTCCAGCAGAGAGCGGAAGGAGGCGGAGAGGAGCTTCAGCTGCGCCTCCTGCTTTGTTTCCGACTCTTGCAGAGCTGAGATGGAGCCGCTTAGCTGGGTCATGCCAAGGTCCAGAGTCCTGGTTCTTTTCTTCTCCGAGACCAGAGTGTCCTCGACCTGCAGGGAGACAGCGTTAGTAAAACTGCGATGGTTTAAAACATTTTTATGTTTGAACCGATGAATACACTGCAGCTGCTCCGAAGGCCTGTTTGTCTCAATTTACAAATAAAACAATAAAAATGATAAGAGAACTAAACAGTCTTCTGATGTTTGACCAACACTTTATGTTTGTTAAGTTTATCAGAATTAAAATGTTTAAATTTCTGTCTTGATTTGTGTTTTTTGTCACGCTCAAATGCAGATGTTTTTAAATGCAGTCTATTGCTGTAAACTAGGCTGCAAATTAAAATTAATTGTTGTTTAAATAAAAACAAAGTCAAACTAAATAAACTCAAGTTATTTCAGGTCATCCTGAGAATAAAAGTTTGATCTTTTTATGTTCGTTACACATCAACTTTCACATTCAGGGTTTGTTTAAAATAATTTACTAATAATCCTGAAGTGCCTCAAACACTGAGATGAAAGCTCAATCCAGTCTTTATAAAAGAGTTCAAACAGACGGATTTGGGCTCATTTAATTAAAACTTTCTTCTCTTGGAGGCTTACTTTAATGTTTTTATATATTGTCTCTAATTATTTTGACAGTTTCCTACACAGAAGCTGACACCTGAAGATGTTTAGGGCATTTGAAACCGTGTCAACGTCTAAAACCATCTAAAAGTCGATGACCAGTAGCAGCTGAAGCAGGTTTTTGGGGTCCCACCTGCTGGATTTTGTGCTGCAGGGCCTCAACTGCTGGTTCCCAGTCACTGGTTTCACTCTCTTCGGCCCCTCCCCCCTCTCCGGTCTCTTCCAGAGCCAGTCTGTTTTCATTGGCTAGCTCAGTCAGGTTGGCCATGCCCCTCTCGAGGTGAGCGACAGCAGCTTTCAGAGCCCTGCAGTCCGAGGACAGGTTCTGCTGGTAGAGGACCGTGTACAGGTAGTCCACGTCCACGTCCATCTCCTGCAGCCGCTGCCCGTGCTGCGTCACGTTCCATGCCAGCTCCTCCACCTGCCGCTGCACCGACACCCTGGACTGCTCCACCTCCAGACCCGTCATCATGAACAGAACCTGGCTGGATCGAGCTGTCTCATTGATCTGCTTATCCAGAAGCTTCAGGTGCTGCATCAGCTGCTCAACGGCGCCAGATGCCGTTTCCACATCCTCCATCAGGCCGCCCACCTGCACAGAAACCAGGATTTAGTTCTCCACACATTTCAGCTCCAAAGAGAAGAAGAACGTCTTCAGTTCCTCAGATGAGAAGAAGATCTTCAACTTATCCCAGGAGAAGAACATCTTCAACTCCTAAGAGGAGAAGAAGAACATCTTCAGCTTGTCAGAGGAGAAGAACATATTCAGCTCCTCAGAGGAGAACATCTTCAGCTCCTCAGAGGGAAAGAACATCTTCAGCTCCTCAGAGGAGAAGAACTTCTTCATCTACTTGGAGATGAAGCTCTTGAATGAAGTTCAGCGGCTGTGATTTGAAATTCTCAGGTGACATGTTCTGGTTGGTCCAACCTTCACGGTGTTGTTGACCACCATGTTGTCAAGACGTGTGACGGCTTCCCAGAGTGCCACAGTCTCTGATGGAGCGTCAGGATGAAGCAGGGGGGTGGAGGGCAGCTGGTCCTCTGGTTTCTGGTCAGGGTTCTGATCCTGGTCCAGTTTCAGCTCAGTTAATGTTGCATTCATTGCCTGCAGACTGACCTGAGATCAGAGATGTGTGGTTAGTAGAAGCTCCTGCAAAGATGACAATATCTGAAGCAGATCTCTGACCTGCAGCTGCTTCTGATGATGCTTCAGGTTCAGGTTGACATCCATTCTGAAGTTGCTTAGGTTCTGGTGCAGCAGTGCTTGCTGAGACTGTAGCATGTTCTCCATGTTCCTGCGCTGATCCTCCATTTGGCTCCGGACAGTCCCAATTTGCTGAAAAACTTTGTCCAGTTGGTCCCCCTCTGACCCATCCCTCAGGTGGTTCTCCTTCAGATCGGCCACATCCTGGACCAGAACCTTCACCTGCCGGCTCAGGTGCTCCAGAGAGTGGTTGAAGCCCTCCAGGACCGGCTGCAGCTGAGACATAAGCAGGACCACCATGTCGGGGACGGGGAGGACGGGGTGGATGGGGTGGACGGGGTGGATGGGGTGGACGTCTGGATGAGGGGAGAGCATGTGATCTACAAAGTCCAACACAATAAGAGAGTTTAGGAAGACTGACTCGCTCCACCACTCAACACAAATAATGTGAATAAAGTAAATAACAACACAAAGACTTAAAAAACAATAATTTTATTAACAAGGGAACACATTAACATATGTTCAAAATACTACTTAAAATTATCAGGTCGACTTGGGGCAGCAACACATCGGTTTAAAGATGATCTAACTCCATGTTCCTCTGAGAAAAGACCCTTCAGCTTCTACCTTCAGTCCAGGGTCCAGGACCAGAGGAAACCAGTTCTTGGAGGATTTGGAGGACCAGAGGAGACCAGTTGCTGGAGGCTTTGGAGGACCAGAGGAGACCAGTTGCTGGAGGTTTTGGAGGACCTCGAGAGACCAGTTCTTGGAGGGCTTGGAGGACTAGAGGAGACCAGTTGCTAGAGGTTTTGGAGGACCAGAGTATACCAGTTGTTGGAGGTTTTGAAGGACCTCAAGCGACCAGTTGCTCCAGGTTTTGGAGGACCAGAGGAGACCGGTTGTTGGAGGCTTTGGGAGACCTGAGGAGAACAGTTGTTGGAGGTTTTGAAGGACCTCCAGAGATCAGGTGTTGGAGGTTTTGAAGGACCTCAAGAGACCAGTTCTTGGAGAGTTTGAAGGACCAGAGGAGACCAGTTGTTGGAGGTTTTGAAGGACTTCAATAGGCCAGTTGTTGGAGGTTTTGGAGGACCTCAAGAGACCAATTCTTGGAGGGTTTGGAGGACCAGAGGAGACCAGTTGCTGGAGGCTTTGTAGGACCAGAGGGGACCAGTTGTTGGAGGTTTTGAAGGACCTCAAGCGACCAGTTGCTCCAGGTTTTGGAGGACCAGTAGAGACCATTTGCTTGAGGCTTTGGAGGACCAGAGAAGACCAGTTGTTGGAGGTTTTGAAGGAAGTCAAGAGACCAGTTGCTGGAGGTTTTGGAGGACCTCAAGAGACCAATTCTTGGAGGGTTTGGAGGACCAGAGGAGACCAGTTGCTGGAGGCTTTGTAGGACCAGAGGGGACCAGTTGTTGGAGGTTTTGAAGGACCTCAAGCGACCAGTCGCTCGAGGTTTTGGAGGACCAGTAGAGACCATTTGCTCGAGGCTTTGAAGGACCAGAGGAGACCAGTTGTTGGAGGTTTTGAAGGAAGTCAAGATACCAGTTGCTGGAGGTTTTGGAGGACCTCAAAAGACCAGTTCTTGGAGAGTTTGGAGGACCAGAGAAGACCAGTTGCTGGAGGTTTTGGAGGATCTGAGGAAACCAGTTGTTGGAGGTTTTGGGAGACCTGAGGAGAAGAATGCTGTCCCATTCTGGTCTGACTGAAGAATCTAGCTAGAATCCAGCTTCCAGATGTTCTGATGCCTGTACACTTTGTGCAGCTGTGAGACCGGGACTGGACTACCATAAAGAACCAGAACCAGTGGCGATGTCTTTGAATAAGACAAAAATAGCAACTGACCAACAAGGATTCTTCCTCTGGGACAATTTGAATCAGAGCATCTCATGTTTGTTACAACAGGAACTAAAATAAGACCAGAATATGCCTCTCACACCCACACAACTAAGAAACACATGGCCCCTGCTGAGTCATGGCTCTCTGGGGACTGTCTCATGGTCTGAATTGGAACCAGTTTCCAAACTGGCCTCAGAAACACCAAAATTGTTCTGCTGGGCCTCTAGCTGCTGGGGAGTCGAGGAGGGGGTTGTTGAAAGAAGACTCCCCTTCACTGCAGAGAGGTCAGAGGTCACGCTGCAACAGGAAGTTCTGAGGGACCTCAGATTGCAGCTGCAGCTGGGGGGCAGTCCAGATCCCCCCCCCATCCCAATTAGCTGGTCGGGTCCCTTCCGAACCGAGCAGCAGCCACCTCCCCTCAGATAAAAACAACCGTGCTGTCACTGTTCTAACGTTTGACTCAGACAGTATGAGTGAAGGACAAGACGTTACGGAGTTGAGGCACAGGAAGAACCATCACAAAGTTCCTGCAAACAGTTTTTAAACACCTCTGTGAGCATTAAAACACAACTTCACACTGAGAGCTGCAGGTTCAAGCTAACGGTTTATAAAAACAGAGCAGAGCAGGACTGTATGTTCAGAGTACCAGTACAGGTTGAGGATCAGGTTTTCTTCAGCGCCACACACACAGGAACACAGTTTTATCAAGCTTCTGCAGGACAAGAAGCATAACAGCAGACGGTTCCTATAAAATGACCAAACACTAGCTGGTCAGTGAGGTCAAAGGTCACAGAGAAGATGTGGGAAACCGAGCAGGAAACTGCAAACAGGAAGCAGGAAGTTTGAGAGTGATGTCATCCACATGGTAATCAGGTGACCTGGGCTGCAAAAGCAACATTCTCTCTCTCTCACACACACACACACACACACACACACACACACGCACACATGCACGCACGCACGCACGCACGCACACACACACACACACCTCCTTTAGAGGAAATACTTTTATTCAACATGTACTGTAGACACTGTGTACTTAGTTCTTATTTCTTTTTCAAGACTTTTCGGGACATTTTAGGTCTAATAACCATGAGTCCTGAACAAGGTTGCAGGAACTCTGAGAATCAGCCCCAACTTAAAAGGAGCTCAGAGGAGAGCCGCTGCTACTTTTCATCAAAATAATAATAAAGTGCTATGTGTTGTCATCATTGTATGTTCCCATACAAAGACAAAATTGGCTCTCTGCATTTAACCCATCGCACCTGGGATACACCCAGGTGGAGCAGTGGGCAGCTATGTAAGCGCACAGAGAGCAATTCAGAATTGGGTGTCTTGCTCAGAGACACCATGAGATGTGCAATGACCGGGGATCGAACCCAGAACTTTCAGGTACCGAGTCGGCTGCCCTGCCCCTACACCATCTCCAACAGTGTGGTTCAGACGCCTCTTTCTGCAGGATTGGAGGATGTCTGGAGGGATTATATCTCTCCTAGCCTGTGAACACCTGGCATCTTCCAGGAGGAGCAGGAGTGTCTGAGGAGAGGGAGGTCTGTTTTTTAAGGACATTTAATTCTGTGACCCATCTGTGGACAAGCCATAGAAGATGGATGGATGTGTGTGTGTGTGTGTTTGTTTCTGTATGTATGTGTATTAGAAAGAACATGAATCTGTAACTAAAGGTACCGGAGTCTAGAATTCCTTCAGTTTACCATTTTATTTATAAGTATTGTTCTTTTTTTTAATAATATATTGGTTAATCATCCCGTATAACTGTAAGTCGTTGTGTTACAAGGGTAGACATGTATGCAGACGATGGTGTGGTGTGTGATAAAAAATACTTATTTATGTGTATACAGTAGATTTTGTGTGATGTATGAGTGAGTTATTAAGAAGTTATCTTTAGTTTAATAATATCCAAGTAAAGTTGTTTAGCTGTGGCAGCCATCTTGAAACAGGCTGACTTCAAGAGTCAATCAGTTGTAAACATTTTCATTAAAATGCATTCACCAGTTCAAAGATCTGTCACAAACACACACAGGTACCTGTTCACCTGTGGTAAATCTGTCTGCTTAAACATGACTAACTGTGACAAAATGACCCTTTAAAGACAGGCAGTCTGGCTCAGAACTGAAGAATCTGCTGGTTCTGGTGTTACCTGGTGACTGTGTCCTGCTCAGCTCATGTTCTGAGGCTTGGTGTTGGTTATGTTGGTGATAATGATGATGATGATGGTAAGTGTGAGTGTGTGATGGGTCCTGATCGGGCTGTGTGGAGTTCTGCTGGTTGCTCTGTTCGTACTGAGGGCTGAAGGACGTGTAGTGGTCATTTTGTTCTTGGTTTGGGTCAGCTTGCTGCGGCTGCAGCTGAAGTCCTGCTGGACCACCTGAAACACACAAATTAAACAGGTTCAAGTTAAGTTGGCTGTTTTTGTCCCATAAGTTTTTTGATTTTGTTGTAGGAATTCCTCGGGGTTTTTTTGTGTTGGAGACCTGATTAGTTTGGGTCAAACCAAAACATCTATCATAATCTGTTATTTTGGTATTTTTGGTACTCCTTTTTACTTAAAGAAGCCACACTCGAGGACACGAGAATATTATTAACTGGTTTTAAGCCCCCAGTATACTCCCGCGTACGTCCATACACGGAGGGACGCACGTACGTACGCAGAGGTACGAGCGTACCCCCCAGGGCATGTCCGTGCAAAGCTCAATTTTTACGACCGCGTACGTGGTGTCACACAATAAACTGCCCAGCGACTGTTTTGTATGCAACACCAATGTATTAAATTATCCTTCTTCATCCCTGATCTGGCTTTTTCTTTTGTTTTTTTGCCAAGAGGCAAGTGATCTCTTCCTCCTCCGTTGATGTCATGACTAAAATGGTGAGAAATAAAGAAATTTGTCACAAGTGAATTAAACTCAGGTCCAGCGTGGCTGCGGGAGGGTCTGGAGATTTCCTGGTGGGCTAGTCTGATGTGTGGGCTGCGGAGCCAACACTACCTGTTTTTTTATTTTTATTTTTTTAGATCTTTTTATTTAAAACATATAAACACAGAACACAGCTGCGGCTGAGGCTGCCAGAGCTTGTTTTTTTTTTCTGACTTGTCAATCAATCCAGTAGGCATGTCAGCAAATGACCAGTTGGTGACCTCAATTTGTCCCGAAGGTAAATGCCCCTTGTCTGTGAAGCTGCTCTGCAGCCGCTCAGGGTGGATGCTTGAGGATGAAGTCTGAACCCTCTGTGTACAGTACGCATGTACGTACTCGTGAACAGACGTACGCGGGAGTATACTGGGGGCTTTATTTGCAAGGGCAGACTTTCACAACAGTTACACAGATGCACCTACATGGAGCCAAGTCATGAGAATCTGCACCGGGCAGTGTGCAAGGTTTGTTTTTATAAACTTATCAGCTCTGGGCTCAGGCAGACTGGTGACCTCGGCCACCCAGCTGCACATGCAGGATCAAATCAGCTCCTCATTCAGCTCTCTGAGAGAGAAAATAACTCTCTGTCTACTCGAACACATGGTTCATGGGCAGTTAACATTCTCAGCCATAGTAGTTAAAAAACATCCATGAACCTTGACCAAAAATCCCATGACAACATTCCAACTTTCAATGAATAAAATCTGTCAGCTTTACAATGTTTCCAAGGATACAAATAGCTCAGAGGTTTGATTGATCAGGCTCCATATTTGTCAAAGCTCTTCATAAACAAAAAAAAAAAAAAAAGAATACAGCAGACAGTGCATCATTCACCCATCAACAAACTATTTTTCAGCAGTAGCAACGACCCCGACAAGAAATAACCTTGTATATCTTTGACCTTACTTTGTGACTTTGACCTTGGAGCTGGAGCGATGAAAAGTGTACGTGATACTCTGTTTAGTGATGATACGTAAGTGTCTGGAGCTTTGTTAAATGATCTTGAGCGAAACAGAAGTTATGGGCGGGACCACTGAAAGAGACTAATCCATAAAACGTCTTCCTTTCCACTGGCGTATAAAATTATTAAATGCTGTACAAATTAAACATACAAACCGGATTCCAAAAAAGTTGGGACACTAAACTAATTGTGAATAAAAACTGAATGCAATGATGTGGAGGTGCCAACATCTAATATTTTATTCAGAATAGAACACAAATCACAGATCAAAAGTTTAAACTGAGAGAATGTATAATTTTAAGGGAAAAATCTGTTGTTTCCAAATTTCATGGCATCAACAAATCCCAAAAAAGTTGGGACAAGTCCATTTTTACCACTGTGTGGCATTCCCCCCTTCTTCTTACAACACTCAACAGACGTCTGGGGACAGAGGAGACCAGTTTCTCAAGTTTAGAAATAGGAATGCTCTCCCATTCATGTCTAATACAGGCCTCTAACTGTTCAATCGTCTTGGGCCTTCTTTGTCGCACCTTCCTCTTTATGATGCGCCAAATGTTCTCTATAGGTGAAAGATCTGGACTGCAGGCTGGCCATTTCAGTACCCGGCTCCTCCTCCTACGTAGCCATGATGTTGTGATTGCTGCAGAATGTGGTCTGGCATTGTCGTGTTGAAAAATACAGGGTCTTCCCTGAAAGAGATGATGTCTAGATGGTATATGATGATATGTTGTTCTAGAACCTGAACATAGTTCTCTGCATTAATGGTGCCTTTCCAGACATGCAAGCTGCCCATGCCACAAGCGCTCATGCAACCCCATACCATCAGTGATGCAGGCTTCTGAACGGAGCGTTGATAACAACTTGGGCTATCCTTGTCCTCTCTGGTCCGGATGACATGGCGTCCCAGTGTTCCATAAAGAACTTCAAATCGTGACTCATCTGACCACAGAACAGTCTTCCATTTTGCCACACTCCATTTTAAATGACCCCTGGCCCAGTGCAAACGTCTGAGCTTGTGGAGTTTGCTTAGAAATAGCTTCCTCTTTGCACTGTAGAGTTTCAGCTGGCAACGGCAGATGGCACGGTGGATTGTGTTCACTGACAATGCTTTCTGGAAGTATTCCTGAGCCCATTCTGTTATTTCCTTGACAGTGGCATTCCTGTTTCAGGTGCAGTGACGTTTAAGGGCCCTGAGATCACGAGCATCCAGTAGAGTTTTACGGCCTTGACCCTTACGCACAGCGATTGTTCCAGATTCTCTGAATCTTTTGGTGATGTTATGCACGGTTGGTGATGATAACTTAAAAGTCTTTGCTATTTTACACTGGGTAACACCATTCTAGTATTGCTGCACTATCTTTCTGCACAACAATGGTGGAATTGGTGATCCTCTTACCATCTTGGCTTCTGAGAGACACTGACACTCTGAGAAGCTCTTTTTATACCCAATCATGTTGTCAATTGACCTAATTAGTGTTAATTGGTCTTCCAGCTGTTCGTTATATGCTCAATTTCCTTTTTCCAGCCACTTATTGCTACTTGTCCCAACTTTTTGGGATTTGTTGACACTGTGAAATTTTGAATGAACATATTTTTCCTTTAAAATGTTACATTTACTCAGATTAAACTTTGGATCTGTCATCTATGTTATATTACGAATAAAATATTGACATTTGCCATCTCCACATCATTGCATTCAGTTTTTATTCACAATTTGTTTAGTGTCCCAACTTTTTTGGAATCCGGTTTGTAAAATGAAGGTTTAATTTTTAAAGATTACAAAATTAAAATCTTTGAGAAAGAACATAGTTTCACTCATATTATGTAATTTCTTTCCTTCTTTGTTTCACCTGTAATGAACTTTTAAGATGTCGGTGTGAATCCACCTGAACAGAGAGTTTGACCTGGTTCTCTCTGGATGTTGATGCTTCGGCTGCTGCAGAACAGACTCAACAGGAAGTCAGATCACAGAGACATGAAGGCAGAGCCTGATGATGTATGAGGGGATTTCCCTGCTGAGCCTCATTGGTTTCATTCAAAGTTCATAAAGTTGCAGTTTGAATCAGAGCAGTTGAGAGTCAGTGGCCTGCAGGACAATATTCATCAGGAGGAAAATACTTCTTTGTTTTCCCTGAACGATCTGCGTGATTTATTTGGTTATTCTGAATCAATATTAATTTGTTTTCTGAATTAGGTTTGTCTGAAAATGTTCAGAATCAAGGACTGAAAATGTTTGAAAAAGCAGCTAAATCTAAAGATAAGCTCTGGAAGAGCTTCAGAAAGTCTGAAGAATTGCTGACGCAGACCACTGAAACAAACTACAGGAAGGTCAGGCAGAAAGAACCAGATCAGGAGTTCTACGCAATCTCATTTGCACACCAGCCTCAATGTTTTTCCTGCTTTCTAGAACTGCTGGACTTTGCTCTGATACAATCACTAAAACTATAAAAACTACAACATCCATCATCCTTTCTAAATAAGAAAATCAGTAAACAAACAAAAGAGCTGGTTGAAACAGTCATATTATCGCAGCCATAAGTATCTCACATTATGTTGGTGTAGATTCAATGAATCCTAAAAGTTTAAAGTCCAGTTCCTTTGTTTTGTTCATGTTAGTGTGCACACCAGGCTAAATGCTACTACATTCAAGCCGTCATGCTGGCTAATGCACGTCAGATTCTGGAGAGGTTCTCAGCTTGACATGAGCGATTGCAGTGTCTCTGTATTCACAGAGATACAGCTACATCCACGGGAACATCCCCAATGCTGCTGCGGTGGACTAGAAGTGTTTACAGACTATGCTTTGACAGTGGAACCAACAGTGGATGGTGTGGATGCTGAGGTGGTCTCCAAACATCCAGATGTTGACTGTTTTATCCCTGCAGTAGTTGTCTGTAGGTTTTTATAAACTGCTGAGCACCAAAATGAAGGGGGCCGTGAGTCAACAGTACTGCAACATCAGCCAAGTGCAGACGGCTCACCCAGACCCTCCTTTCATTGCTGTTGGTGACTTCAACAAAGCAAATTCTCAACCTGTGCAACTAAATGTACAACCAGAGGTGACAACATAACAGATCATGTTTACACAAATATCTAAAATACTTACAAAGCAGTGCCCTTCCCATATATTGACAGCTCTGATCATCGACAGTCAGGCTTGTTTTGGGGAGGCAAATAAAATCAAGAGTGGAACCAATGATGGAACCAGTGGTGGAATGGAACCAATGGTGTACCAATGATGGAACCAATGGTGGAACCAATGGTGGAGGCAATTCCAGCATTACAGAACCGTTTAAAGTGCACACAGTGGGGCATTTATTAAGAGGCAGCTAGAAATTATAGAACCATTGATTTCAGCTATTAGTTACATAAATTAATGGATACTTCTTGAAATAATTAGGAAGCGTGTCAGTCAAACTTGAATGATTGGAAAGACAGTTATCTTCTTAAATATCCTGATGCATGCTCAATAATCCAAGTAGAAAAATCTAAAAAAGT